AGAACATGATAACTCTGGAAATTCTTTGCAAAATCACTACAAAGGGAAAGGGCTGCAAAGGGAACTTGACTAGAAAGCGTTGTTCCCTTCGGTGCCAAGGTGCTTGGATCAGGTTATGTCATGAGTGGATTCAGGGTTTCACCTAGGGAGGTGTGGGAGCAGTGCTCTGCACTGCAGGGGAGGGCTGCAGCCCAGCTTCCAGGCTTCCCCCCACCCACACCAGGGCGGGCCACAGGAGCAACAGTGGGGGACTTTAAGTCCCTCAAATAGGTAAGAATTTTCCCTCTCCCTCCTTCTCCTCCATGCTCAGCAACAAGTTTCCTCCTCTCCCATTCCTCCCAACCCACCACCACTGCTGTCTGTCCCCAGCTGACCTGGGAGGGTAGGGAGGAGGAAGATCCGAGAGTTGCCCCTGCCCTCCTGCAGTCAGGCTGCATATGGAGCCAGGCTTAGCCAGATGCAGCAGTCGCAGCAGGTGGGTTCCCTCCCCAATGCCTGCTCTCAGGATGGCAGGGAACATGGGGTGGGGGTGAGGGGGGACGGGACAGAGTAGTGAAGAGGGACCTGCCTGATGCTGCTGTTGTCCCTGGCTGAGCCTGGCTCCATGTATCGCTCAGCTAGAGCAGGCAAGAGTGGTCTGGGAGCACCTTCTCAGCCCCTGTCCCCAGAGCAGCTGGAGATAGCAGCAGCGGTGGGTGGAGGAGGGATGGGAGGGGAGGTGCTGCTGAGCATGGAGAGGAGAGGAGAGGGAAGGGGGATTCTTACTTACTTGAGGGACTTAAAGTAAAAAAAAAAATGTCTGCCTGCTTGTCCCACACAGGGATGACTGAAGGAGGAGGAGTGGAGTGCATCCACACCACTGCACCCCCTCCTGGATCCATCATTGCGGAGCATACCTTTTCCTCTGGTGATGCATCTTGGCTCACAAATAGACACTGATAGTTGTCAGTCTTACACTGGAAGCTGCAACTCACCAGGAGAAGGCTGTAAATACGGTGCAGCCTTTGCTAAAGACAGTGGCCCAGATGTCACTGAAGCCACTGGAGATTCATTACTCCATGGACGAATTTCAATGAGCTTTAGTTCAAAGTGCCCAGCTGCCATTTTTCAGTGCAAGAACACTGATACACATGATGCTCAGACGCATTTAATTTGCACAGTTCACTAATTAAAGTGCCCCCCTGCCTCCTGAAGCAAATCTATAAATGCTCTGGATGGTTAAATCACTGCACATTATGTTCAAATGTACTTTATATAAATACATTCCATCTTTCAGGGCTTCTGTTCCCATTTTCTGGACCTGCTTCTCATTGACACCACCTGCCATTGCACCACTCTGGCAATTTTGTATCCTCATAGGCAGCATAAGTTATGTTTATGCTCACTTGAAACCCTTTTTCAGTGCCACAGTGAGGAAGTGAAGCAATGAATTGGCAATGAAGAACAGGAAGTGCTGCATCCCCTCAGCTACTTCATCATTGTGGGAAGAAAGGGTGCAAGTGTTCTTGTGTGAATAGCGTTTTGTAACACCTAACTCCGTGTGTGTGTGTGTGTGTGTGTGTGTGTGTGTGTGTGTGGTCTGTCCTTGATTATTCCTCTTAGAAATCCATGTTTCCCTGGCAGGGGTGTAGGTTGTAGCCGTGTTGGTCTAAGGACATAGGCAGACAAGGTTCCTTGGGTGAATTTGAGATCTTTTATTAGACCAACCCAAATAGTTGGAAAATAGTTATTAAGCAAGCTTTCGAGTTCAAAAACATGACGAAGGGTTTTTGAACTCGAAAGTTTGCTTAATAACTATTCTCCAACTATTTGGGTTGGTCTAATAAAAGATATCAAATTCACCCAAGGAACCTTGTCTGCCTGTTTCCCTGACATACACTTACATAGCCACTGGAGGTCACTGCTGATCTACAGTTACAGCATAAGAAGTCACTCTCAGTGATGCTTGAAAAGATCACTACCCAGTGTCTGTTTCCTTTGGAAGATGCAATGCAAGGTTTTAAACAATCCTCTGGAGGGTGTTATGTGGTCAGCTTTTTATTTAATTTGACCCCTCAAAATCCCAGTTAGACGTGTGACTTTTAGCACATTGCACCAGGTGTAGGGATGGGATTCTGCACACTTGAAACTTTCCCTAATTTTCATGTGCTAAATGTTTTTTTATGAGATGACCTTTCACTGAAAGGATGGGACCATCAGTTCTAATTGTGCAGATCAATTTAGTGCAAGTAATTTCTCAACCTGGGGAAGGAACATTTGCTCATGAAATATCTAAGGTCTCCTGAGGAAAGACAATTGCCAAATGTTAAGTGCAGAAGTGCGTGAATAGCATATCAAGATGCAAAGCTAGAATCCTTGCAGCTGACTCTTATTCTCAACCTCAACAAGTTGGCAATTAAGTTACCTATTAGAGATGGATGAATTTAATGGGAAGTTGGATGTGGATTCCTTTTAGTTTTTTCCATTTTGTGCATAACCGATGCCACCAGGTTTTAATTAAAACCTGTTTACATGTTAAAGTCATTTCAACCATTTGCACTGGAAACACAGAAGGTAGCTAGCATTTTCATGTGACAGAAGCATGCATAACTTAATGATTTCAGATTGAAACTTCTAAGATCTTTATCACAAACTCTAGGGTTTTCTTTAGGAATTTCCATATTTTTGTGGCAGGTTAGCAGTCCTGTTGTTTCTCCTGTCCATGATGAAAGGTTAATGTGATGAGAAAAGTGGAGCACAGATACTTTACTGGAATGCAACCTGCCGCCAGCTAATTGTTTGCTGGTGTGTATGGAATAATTAATGGGCGTACCAGCATGAATTGTAGTCCTTCTTTGCAAACAAAAAGCATGAGCAGACTGTACTGCATGCAAGGAGATCTGTTTATGGCACTACTTCTTGTACATTTTATTTTGCTTGGCCAGTATTCAGGCCACTTGCCACTCTGAAAAAATAACATAGTGTCTGAAGATGTTTCACTTGTATTCAATAAATAGAACACAGAAAAAAGTAGGACACTGAAGAGTGAGAGCTGCCCTTTACATGGATTTCTCTTAGAGAAGATAAGTTACATGAATTATATGAATTACATGAGTTTAGGACAGAAGGTCCCAGGACTAGGTCCTGGATCTATATAACATGTTGTCACAGGACAAACTGGCCTCTTAATGGGGTCTGGGACTAGACCTGACCTGTAATGTGTATACTGACAATTTTAGAGAAAAGGCCACCTGATCTATTAAGTCACTGCCTTTTTCTCTTTTTCTCCAGTGCCCATCCAGACCTGAAAATTCTGGCAGGGACCTTGCCATTTTGGGTGCCTGTAGATGTGTGGGGATGCTGCTTTGACACGCTGTAATTACAGTGCGTCAGAGCAGATTTGATTAATTGAGTCTGCTGGAGCATGGTAATTAGTGTGTTCCAGCAGTCTTTATGCCTTATGTATTCAGCGTCCTCATTCTTCAAAATGGCACCAGAGGCACTTTTAACTAAAGCTAATGGAATGAGTTTTAGTTAAAGTGCCCACGTTGCCATTTTGAAATGTGGGACAGTGAATACAAGAGATGAGGTAGGTGATTATTTAGATTGGCTCTCAGAGCTGCTCTAATTAAAACTCCCTCCCCACTCCCCTTCACCTCCAGAGCACTATTTTAGTGCCCTCAGTAGTTAGCTTAGCCATGATGTCCACTGGGAAGCCAAGGGGTGACTCTCAGTAGTTAGCCTAGCCGTGATGTCCACCCCTTGGTTCCCAGTGGACAATACACCGATGGGTGCATACACATATACTAACTTTCTGGCAGTTAAGATGACTTAACTTTTTAAAGTCAGCTTAACTATCAGAGCATACGCACCTCTGATGTGTATTATCTTAAGTTGCATTAGTTAAGTCGACTTATCTCACAAGATGGCTGCCACCATGTATGCTCCAACATGGCTTAAGCCGACTTAGTTAAGTCATCTTATTTTAAATCACCTTTAGTATGTGTGTACATACTCTCTGTGACCAGAGAGAGTCATCTTGAAACTGCTATAGCTGTGTGTCTCTAGATGAGGACTTGACCTGACGTAGTGGCTTGTTTAGGCTAGAAGCAAGAGAAAATAGCAGAGATCTCGAAATGCTGCTGAGGACAATGGGAATAGGCAGGATCTGGATGTCCTCTATCCTGATCACTTCTGGTCTAAAAATCATCAGTAACAACATGAACACAGGGATTTTTCTTAAGGTTTCAGCTGTGTACCGTCACAGCACTGCTGGTGACAATCACTGTCTGCCATACTCCAGTGAACAGTGATTACTCTTAACTATGCGCCAGTTGACTTTGAAAGTACACACTTTGACTACAGCTTTTGCAATTTGCAAGGTAGGTTCTTAAGCATGTAGTTCAGAGGATACAAAATATACTTTTAAATAGAAATTAAGCTGCAACCTTAACTATGAGAGAACCAACTGCTCTGTAATAGGTAATGCTGCAGATATAGAGGAAACTGCATGTAGTTGTATAGTTCAGAACTGGTAACCAGTGTTCAACCACTCATCTTATCTGAGCCCCTATGCATATTTCTGTGAAAACAAGAATATGGTGCTAAAGATTGGATTTCCTAGCAGGGACTAGGCAATACAGTATTCTATGTGGGTGGCAAATGTCGATGGAAATCCTGAGAGCACATGGGAAGTTAAAATGAATCCTGCAGGGAAAAAAAAGACGTTTGTCAACCAAGCTAAAAATTCAAGTAAGCCTCATACTATACTTGCCAACACATTTATGGGATGAACTGCAGGCAAAGTTCAGAGCCGGACTATGCCAGTTGCTGGAACTGAAAGCTAAACTACTAATGGGATCAACAAAATGGTACATGCTGTTGGCTACACAGTGCTTTAATACTTATAGAGCCTCAGTCAGCCAGTACCATAAAAGCAGGATAAAGCTAACAGGAATGGGAAATGAGATGCAGTGTGGCATGGAAGAAGTAAAAGGTTGAAGTGGTAATTGGGGAAAAGGAAATGGGAAAGAAAGCTTGGAAGAGAAGAATCATGACAGAAGGCACTAAAGCAGATGATTATGAGAGAACAGGAGCTCCACAGAACAACATTAAAGGCTGAAAAGCAAATAAGTGAGTAGTGAGAAAGGTTTTATTGATGAATAGTTTTAAAATCCCCACTCCCCCATCTTGCCAGCTATCTGAAGCCCAAAATAAAGAAATATAACCAGGTCTATGTTCCTTCCTTCCAGAGTCACAAGGTAGTTCTGCCGTTTCAGCCAGAGACGAGGGTCTGTTGTAATGGCTGTACCTGTCCTTGGGCCTCCTCAGGGTAAAATTACGCAGTGATCTGCAGAACCTTGAACTGCTCAACAGATGCAAGGAAGTGCAAGATATTACCAACAGCTTGCCTGATATCTCAGATGTTCACAAGATTGAGATAAACTGGGGTCTTTAGGTCTGTGGCAACCCTCATCTCCCAGGGCTTAGTTCTAAAGAGGCCAAGCTAAACAGAGTGGAACCCCTCCAGAGTTTTGCAACGTTGTGGGATGTTAGCTCCAGCCCCCTGGATCTCCTTAGAGCAAAGCAAGCTCCTTGTAGAACCTGAACAGTGTTGAATACAGCAGGCTTTAATGATGCTTTAGGCTTTAATGATGCTTTTCTCAGGGCAAGTCTTGAAAAAAATTATAAAGTCAAATAGAGAAAAAAAAAAAAGTAAAAATATATTACATTTATTCAGTAAACAAACCAAATGGTGTGCATGGATATAGCCAAAGCTGAAAAGGCAGCAAAACAAAAAACGTAAGTTTTTAAATAAACATTATAGCAAGAACCAAAATTCACAATTTTTGCAGTGTTCTTAATTTTCACAAAGAAAATTTTTTTAAAGAAAAATCAGGACAAAAATAGTGGGACAAAGTAAAGTATGTAAGCCTTTGTTATGTTTCTCTTAGGCAAATTCCCTATTTTATTCATTCAGAATATTTAAATCTAGAAAAGGACCACTATCCTCATCAAACCTGATTTTCTGCCTTGTGCACAGCGTGGATTTTCATTGTGTAATAACCTACATTTATCCCAATAACCTGGGCTAAACTAAAGCATTACACACACACACACACACACACACACACAGAAAAACAAATTACCCAAGTACTTTGGCAATCTGTTCTAGTGTTTGCCTATTAATAATTGCATCTTTTTTACAATTTTCTCTTTGCTAACTTCAATTCAGCTGCTAAATCAGAAGGTATGGGCACTTGAGCAAAATAGGTTCAGGGCTAACTACCTAGGTAACACTGTCTCCCCATGGTGCTAGTCTACATGAGTTATTTTTCCCCACAGTTATTGAGGGGTAAGCTAATCAGTTATTGAGGAGTAAGGGCAGTTGACATGAAATAGCTGACACATTGTACACTTACTTAGCTTATTTTCTAGTAACTTGTTCATGTGCCTGTGCCCATAGATCTCTTAGCTTTCTATTACTGTAAGTCTTCTCCCTGTGTAGGCAGTTGCAGACAATGGTCAAGTCACATCTTAACCTAGTTTTTCATAAAGTATATAGACTGAATGCCTTAACTTTCTCATTGTAAAGCAGGTTTTCAACATTTTTTCTGAAGTCTAGATGCCAGAATTTGGAAGTTTGACCACAGTTCCATGAAATGAGAAACAATATCCTTACTGGAGATCTAGTCTCTTAAAGGGGGACTTTGCCATCATGAAAACTGTTATCTAAGACCTACTTACACACAAATGTATTTACTTTCATATTAGCTTCCCAACATTTGTTTGCTAATGTGGAAAACTGCATGGATGAAATCCTTCCATCTCCCAGCTGAAGTCAGCAACTGCACCAGAAATAAATTTTACCCTAATTATATAACAGATCAATTTCTTCCACCTTCCTTTTCCCCTTCTGGATTTCTGAGATATTGTGAGTTCACTTGAGGATCAGGAAGAAGACATTCAGTTGAGATGGAATGGAGATGAACTCCTGTTCAAGTGCAATCACCTTTAATTATATCAAGAGGAACAGATGTATTGGCAGGTTAAGGATTTTCTCTTTCTCATTCTCTCTCCCCAAAAGTTATCCTAATGGAAAAGTCTCTAAGGGTTATATTTAAAAAAACAGGTCACTAAAAGATAAGCTACATTTTCCATGTCTGTGGACACTATCACATCATGCAAATACAACAGTGCATTTCAATCCCCTTCCTTGGCCAGGCGAATTTCTGACCAGACTCTTTGGGAGTGCTCCCTTGATTATGGTTGTTCGGGTAAGCAGAGAGAAATCTGTGACTAACGCTTCATTTTGGGTAGCTTCTTTCAGAACATTTTTTTACCAGTTCAGTTTTATTCAGTGACTTTCAAACACAGGCTCTTAGTTGCAAGGCTTACAGTGATCTACCTATGCTTGTAAAGAATCACTTCTTCTAGAATGAGAGACCCAGAAAGAGCCGGACTGAAGAAAATTCTGCATTTCTGCTCTTCAGTGTCTCAAATACTCGGTACCAGAACCATTTTTGTGTGACTGAACTTTGATTCTATTTCTGTTCCTTTGCCTCTGAGAACTGTATCTTGTACATGTTGGAGTTAGACTGTCCAAGGGATGCTCTTAGATGCATTCTAGAGATTCACATTCCAACCATATTTGGTGCCCTGATTTCTGTATTCTTTTCTTGCAATGGGGACAGTTTGTTTCTTTAAAAATGTTTAAAATGTTTTGCTTTAAAAAGTGAGCTCTTGTGGGAGTTACAAAAGGTTCTGGTGCACCCACTTCAGGCCTGAGTCTAGCTAATGGAATTTGGGAGCAAAGAACAGAAAGAAATGCTAAATCCAGACCCAGTACACAGTGATTCTTCTACTGCTCCGTTTCCTCTGCCAACAGGATCTTGCACATCTCAGAGTTGGCTGTGTGCAAGGCAAAATCACGTCCAGCAAGCATGCCTCGACGCCCCTTGCGGACAGTGATGCTTCGGTTCACTGAGGTTTCAGAGATGGTAAAGATTTCTCTGTGAAAGAAAACAGAAAAAGGTAGCTAAGAGTTTAGAATGATACAAGGTTAGGTTAGCATGTCTACTCAGATCAGCATGTTCATTCCTCAGATCAGCATGTGCATTCCTCCCTTAAAATGTCTGATCTGTAAAAATGCTGGGGTATCTTCTTCACCTGGGCTGCCTATACACATGCTCCAACATGTACTGATTAGAACATGTTGGACCAGACTCAATTCAATTGATTGAGTCTGCTGGAGAGTTTTAATTATAACACTCCAGCATGCTGCAGCATCTCATGTATTCAGTGTCCTGCATTTCAAAATGGTGGCAGGGACGCTTTAACTAAAGCTCATTTGATGAGCTTGTTTGACCACCATATTGAACACATGAGATGCTCCAGTGCTTTAATTACAGAGAGCCATTAATTAAAACAGCTCCCTACCCTGGAGCACATGTATAGGCATCCATAGGTGTTTGCCTTTGAGCTGATCTAAGCGCTCAGGAAATGCATTCTCCTTTAGAGCCATGCCATTCCCAAGGGTAGGGAGAGGAGACTAGGGCTGACTAGGGCTCCAGAGCATCTGCAGTTGCTTACTGTGTCTTATTTTAGTACTTCAAGGTACTAACCCACTTACCCAATGGGAAAGTGAAATTCAAATGATGTAGTTTCTATAAATAATCATACTTTCCTCTCTTTTTTGTCTCACTGTATAGTCTTATCACATATACATGATTCTTTTGAGATGATTTGATGTTTTTGGAGAAATAATTTTGTGGGATTTTTATAATTTTTGCAATAGAGCCAATATTTTCAAAAGTGAGTGTTTTTGGATGACTCCCTTTTATATATGCCCATCCTAGGATATCTTAGAGAGCTTGATTTTTCAGAGCAGCTAATGTGAGAACTAACAGTGCATTTGGTGTTCAAATATATCCGAGTTATCAAATGAGAGAGAAAGGCCTTCTCATAGTGACTCACACTGAGGCCCTATTCTTACTACCACTGCATCAAGCAGTCTTTATAGGTCTGATGCTTGGAAGTGTTCTCTACTTCTGTGGATTGAATTCTGTTGCCACATGAAATCAGTTCAATATTCATGTTATACAAAAATGGAATAACTTACACATTTAATCTTTAACATATATTAGCTAGGACTTTTCTTTTCCCTTTCCTCTCACAACCCTTGGAGGGTAATTTCATTGATCATTTCAGTTATAAAGTGGCTGGTATTTAAATATTTCCTGAACAGGATGAACCATAGCTGTCTACAGTTATATTCCTGCTCCCAGTAATCAATTCAAGTGGGGAGATTTCACCAGGGAAGAGTTTTGAAGAATAAGCTGATTTCTGGCACCTGCCTACACTGAATACTGGACAAGAGACTGTGGCAGACTGGACTTCTTGTCTATATAGCAAGATCTGATTGGTGGGGAAATTACTAATTTCTGAAGGGTTTCACTCTTTGAATCATAGAACCATAGAAAATTAGGGCTGGAAGAGACCTTTGGAGATCAGCTAGTCCAACTGTGACAAGGAAGGGTTCCACCCTCTCTCTGGCTTTGTTTTTGGTGCCTACTTTGTGGATGAAGTTTTCTTTCTGTCCCTGAAGTGTCTTGAGAGTGCTTACAAGGCCCAAGGCTTTTCTTTGGGAGCAAGGTTATTTGCTAGATGCATGTTCTCAGATAGCCACAGTGGGTGCATCCAGACGAGTGTGCATATGTGGTATACGGTGCTGCAGACCCATCTGTGGCATTGCAAGCTGCACGTGCAGGTATTCCCCATGCTGCTTATTTGCAGTGTGGGTTGGGTTTTTTATTTTGTTTTTTTTTACACCAGGAGACCCGGTGTCAAAAAAACCCATGCTAGCAAAAAGCGGAATGGTTCACATGGTGCAGTGTGTGCTGCCCAAAAACAGAGCCTAGCTGGCCACTCCAGCTGCCAGCCAGGCTCCCTGCTGATGGATCACCACCCCCAGGATCCCAGGTTAGACTGCTGGGACCAGCCCAGGGGCTGACCCAAGCCTTCCCTACCCCACCCAGGGCAACTTGCTATGCACCAGAGCATGCATGCACAGGTGTTCCCTAAGGACAGGTAGCAGTGGCACAAATATGTACCAATGTTATCTGTCCCTGGTAAAATGTATGTGCGCGCTTGTCTGGATGCACCCACTGAGTCCTTCTGAGCCAAAGTCAGTCCTAGGAACAATGCCAGGGTGTCTGCCTCTGATGTCATGCAACAGCAAAAAAAAATGCTGGAGATCTATTTATGTCAAGAGGCATCCAAGAAAGATGCATTGACAAGCAGATCAAAAAACAGTTGTGCTGTGTCTAGGTGGAAATCAATATTGGCATTAGGGCCAGCAATTATACTATAAAAGAGGTTTATCACTACAATACTGTAACAGATAACCCAGCAACTTTTGTGCACAGGGTTTGCCTTAACACTCCTTAGTTTGGTCTGCTCTCTGACATTGTCTATAGCTTCCATTAACCTTTACTGACTTCCCTGGATGGAGGGACTGAGATGAACCTGCTTTAAATCAAATTCTGGAGACTGGATCCATTAGTAGTTGTATCCATTAGTAGTAGTATACATTGGCTCCTTGAGAACTGTTTTTCATAATATCCTCCTCTCTTCTCTCTAGTTGGATTTTTGTAACCCTGGATATCAGAGATGATGGTCAAGAATCCCTGGAAGTAGTGCACTCTGCTAGACTGAGTTCTACGATTAGGCAAATGGTAATGAATTCTGCAGAATCCCCACTCGACAGAGTTGCACTAAACCCTGTGTTGGGTGAGCAAGTGTTGGGCTGCAGTGTATGGCAGTGTCCCCCCTGTGTAGTCCTGGCCTAGAAATCCACATCTTACCTGTAAGGAAGCTGTTCCTCATTGAGCTGCAGACACATGAGCATAGGACTCCCAGAAAATCTTAAAGCAGTAGCAAAATTGAGTGCAGTTTCCACCTCAGTCTGTCTTCTTAAGCTAGCTTGAAAGAATGGGGCATCTAATTCTGCTTGGAAATCAATGGCCAGTCCACCCCTGCAACAGGAGAAAGCAAAGGTCTTGCCCCTGAACAAAGCGTATTAGGGGAGGGGAACTAAGTTTTCATTCACTTACCTTGTTCTGATTTCAGTTTTTGATTCCTGCTCCCATATATTCACATCAATGTTGGCTGAAATATCTATCCCAAGGCCCCCCTGAAGTTCAACTACTGCTTGCAGCCCAGACTGAAGGGGAATTGCCTGAAGAACAGAAGAAAAGAGTATTTGTTTAGAGTGTGCCTGCACTTTTCTTGACCTTAATTGTGGGCACATCTACATGTGTGTCCGACTGTGCAGTTGTTACTGTGCAGTCATGTAGTACTTGCTTTAGCACCAGTCATGTAGTACTTGCTTTAGTAAACCACCATTACTGCACGGTCCCATAGGCACACAGGTCATTTCCAACCCTACTGTGTAATAGAAATGAACTACTGCACAGTAGCTTGTTGCTACTGCACAGTAGCGTCGGCGTCACAGTTCGTGCTCGCTGATGCTATGTCGCCATAAAGATGAGCTATGTCGCTATAGCTCATTGCTATGGCAATGCAGCATCTCATGTAGATGCACCCTGTTTTATGCAAAACAACATCAACAAAAGAAGTTAAAGAGCAATTAGCCAGAAGGGATACTAGCTGCACCGCACTGCCAAATCCTGCTGGCCAGGATACAGTGACCCTGCAGTTTCCACATGCCAATTAATAAACCAGTTTTAAAATATCTTTCATTAATACTGCCTTTAGGTTAGGTTGAGCATTGTAATGAGTATTGGGCATGAGCAAATGGGTTGCAAACAGGGCCCTTCAGGAAGATTTGCTATGCTAGAGTGCACCCTGTGGATTAAAAGGAGCTCTAGTGATCCCTGGCTAGCATCACCAGAGCTCTAACTGTAGCTTGGATGAGAGAAGGTCCTTGTGTCATATAGTTATTACCTGTTGATGATCCATTAGCAGAACATTGCCTTTGATCACATTTGTGGGCTCTCCACTGCTTAAGAGAACCTTGGCCATGAGGTCTGTATATCCTTGGAAGAAAACAACTGGCCGTAACTGAACATCAAAGACAATGGCAGACATCCCAGCCATCAGCTCCTGCTCCTCTTCTTCATTAGTGTTCTCTCCCAGCACTGAGTCCAGCCCCTTTGCTTCAAAAGTGACCTTAAAATATACAGGCAGAGAAAAATCAGCTGCACAAGACTTGGTTTCTCAAGGGTTAGCTTTAACCATTTTCCTACTTGGGGAAGCTGGATAAAAAGCTTGTCTCATGTAGTGTAGTAGTCCATCTTTCACAAACCAATCTCTTCTTGGAGCAGTTGCCATCTTTAAGTGGAAGTATTTTTATTTCTGTAGGCAGACATTTGCAAAGTTGTTTTTTTTATAAAATCTGCCCTGAAATGTGCTTAACAAGGGCCTGTTTTACCCAAACTAGCCAGTACAAGTTTATATACAGAGCAGTCTCCATATATAAGTAAGCTATTAGCATCTTATATAAGGTAGGCTTCTCTTGGGCTACATTTTGTTTACTTGTCCCGAAAGATGGTCATTGCAGCAGGGGCAGGAGTTCAGAACTGGGGCTCCCCTTTGTGACCCCAGATAAAACTAGGACTGCCGATGAAGGAGAAGCAAGCGAAGTCAGACTGAACTTGATACAAGTGGTGTGGGACCAGACTTGAAGCAGACTGAGAGAAGTCCAAGTAAACTTGGATGTGTAAACTAGAAGAAGACAGCACCAGGTGACCTTGGCCAGCTATTCTGGAGGCCTGCTTGGAGAAGCTAGATGGGAAGCAGAATTACTTAAAATAGTAGCAGACCAATGGCTCTATAGTGAATTGGGAAGTGATTATATTTAAAGCCCAGTAAACCTGATACTCAAATGCCCTGGCCTGTGTGGCCATTTTATGTCTGTGCAGAATGACTTCAAAATCTTCTGGACATGCTTCAGCAGTACTGTATACACTCCAGACAAATGTAGACAACAACATAAGGTGCAAGGCAGCAGAGAATCAGGTCCCATTAAGGATGTTAATTGAATAAATATAGTGAGAGAAAGGAGAGATTGGGTGGTTTGCACTGTAGCAAGGAACTTGGAAAACTAGATTTAATTTCCTGCCCAGCCATGGTGGCCTTGGACAAACCACTCAGCTTCTTTGTACATCAGCTCCCCTCCCATAAACTGGGGATAATTCCACTCCACTACCTCACTGAGGTGTTCTAAGTTGGCAAATAAATTAAAGACTGTAAAGCGTTAGGGACTGAAGTGATAGGGCCTGAAGTAGTATCATAGATAAATAGTCCAATTTGTAATCAGCCTTACAGAGTTGTTGTACCATAAAGTTCTTTGAGGAGTTTCCAGTCTCCTTGAGATGTGGAAAATATTCCCATTACTAAACTTGGATGAAAGTGTGAGGAAAGTTTCTCTAAATATGGAGGCTCTCAGCAGCTCACAGCTTCCTGCTAAACTCTGCTTGTACATTTAGGCCAATTATCATATAACCAGTTTTAGGATGAAACTGTGGACACAGCGAAATTGATGGCAAAACTCCATTTGACTTCAAAAGCATCAAGATTAATTAAAATGGCATTAATTTAAAATTATCCATCCATCCATCCATCCATCCTTTTGAAAATCTCATGGACTTGATCCTCATCTAGTATAAATAGACACAGCTCCATTGAAATAGGAGGTAAAGTTGATTTACAGGAGCTGGGACGAAAGAGGGGAGAGGGGCTACATGTTTATAGATGGAAGAAGACAAAAACTCAAATGAAAACTGACAGTGCTGGATATAGTGTGGGCAGTTTGGCCAAAATAAGAAACTTTCAATACAGAGAAACTCAAAATGTCAAACAGCATATTTGCCTTGTTTCCTCCTACATATCAGTGAATAACACAGTTAGGAATTTAAAATTTCAAGTCTTTTTGTATGCCCTTAGATACTTCATACGTCCTCTGTTATGGAGCAATTTCTATGGGTAATCAGCAGGGATCCTGGTTTTCTCTTTTGTTTTAAAATTGCAAATTCTCTGATAAAAATGGCAAATTCTCTGATTAAAAATCTCCAAATAGGCATTTTTCCATGATTAAAATGAAACACTGCTATATATAGGTATCAGTTGAGCACAATATTTTATTGATATTGTAACAGAGAGTTAATCCCTGGCCCCTGTTACATGTGGGAATGCGGTGACAACCAACGTCACTGCTTTTTGGGCCAGAAACCCACACTGAGACTCCGTTACTCCCTCACGGTGAGTCTTACCATACAGAAGCGGAGAATCAGCCCCTTTCCAGAGATAAGGGAGGGGACTAAGAAATCAACTAGACCTGCTTCCTGCTTAGGAGGCTCCATGTCTGTGCCCGGCAGCCATGTTAGGGGGCCAGGAATAAACCCAGAAGTCCCAGAAGCTCCAGGACTGATGAATCCCTGGTGGTGGGGAGTCATTTATAGGAGGGAACTGAAGATGATTGGATTTAACATAAGCAGGTTAGTTCAAAAGTGAGACGGCAAAGACTCACTCTTCCCCAGAGAGGGGACTGAGAGCACCATCTCCTAGTCAGGAGTGGTGCGTACCTGTGTGGAGGCACAGAAAGAGAGCAAGAGAGACAGAGAGCCGTCAGTGGGGAAATTGAGACCGCTGTGCTATATGGATTGATGACTGGAGCCTGATGAAGAAGTATATTGGGCTGAAGAAACACTGGAGTTGAGATTCTAGCTACCTGGTAGAGGACAACTGACATAAGAGATTTTTATTGTTAGAACTGGGTTCAAGACATCTGACTCAGGGTAAGTCTGTCTGTGGGACCTAACTCGAAAATCACTATAAAGGACTTTCCTAGGGCTGTTGGGGAAAGGGAGGAGGTGCTGACCAGAGAGATCATGCCCCAGTGGTTTATTGGGAATAGTGACAGGAGAAGATGTGAAGCCCAGGTGGAAACAAAGCCAGGAGGCCAGGACCTGCCTTGGGCCAGTCGCTCAGGGGAAGATCTTAAACTCACCGTATGGGGTGGTGAGGACAGGGTGTAGGGGAGGTGGAGACCTGTGAAGAGTGTCTATCTTTGAGAGGAGGCTGTAGTCCTTATTATTTTGGTACCAACAATCAGTTTCCCTTTCCTTTTTCCATCAAGGCGTGGTGGGTGAATATAAAGAAGTGGACTGCGAGCCTGACCCTGAGGCATGAGACAAGAGAGCTTGCCTACAGATATATTTGTAGACGAGCTACAAATACAATTTTAAAGCAATTTGGAAGCCTACTAGTGCCTCAATCACTTTAATAAAACAAATTATAAGTACCCATACATTTTGGCTTTTGACATTTAATTTTAGATTTTTATTATGGAAAATCAGAGGTCCCCCACCCCCTTCACACACCAGGATACAGACAGAGCTGTGGCTACCCCTCCCCACCCCGCCCCACTGCTTTGTGGCTCTGAGCAGCCCTGTATGCCATGCCCTGCCTATGCCATTACTCCTCACTCCTGACCCACAGCCCCACCCCCCCACTGGTGCCCCTCACTCCCCACCCATGGCTCCTCACCCCAGGCCTACAGGGTCAGAGACCTGGGTCTCGGCCTCCTGCCCCCTGCAGAAGTGCCCGAACCCTGGCTGCCATTTGCAGGAGGCAGCAACTGTTGCGGTGGATCGCAGTGTGAAGCCCAGATCCCCCTCCCCCACAGCTGGCATGGTTGGAGCGGAGTCTGTCAGGAGGGGTTGGTGCAGGTTGGCTGCTGTGGGCTCGGGCTCTCTGCCCTCCTCTCCCATGCTAGGTCCTGCCCACTGGGCTGCAGAGACCCCGGGGAGAGGGCAGAAGGAGGGAGCCTGAGCTTTCAGTGGCCAGCCCACACCTGCCCCATGCACAGATCTGTGAGGCACATGCCCCCCACATCCTCCTGGAGTGTGTGCAACAGCAGGGAACCAGCTCTCCTTGCTGCCCTCTGGACAAGCTGCCTGTGGCCCCATCTTGCTCCCTGCCTGGGCTCTGTGGCTGTGCATTCCAGCCCTGGGCCCCAAGCCCCATGCACCACCTGGGCTGGGCAGCAGCCCCAGCCCTGCCCAAGTCCCTCCCTCACTATGGGGGCCTCAATTCCTGCCCCTCCCCTCCCTCCACTAGACTTACCTGAAGGGAACTGCTCTCTAGGCTGCCTAGCAGCTATGTGCATGTGTATTTGTGCACATGCACATGGCACCCTCTGCTGATTGCCCTTCTCCCACTCCCCTCAGCCCCTTGCAGGCTGGAACTCTGCAAGGGGAAACCCACAGTTTCCCGTGTTTTTCTCCTTTAAAGGAGAAAATCCAGGTTTTACTATGTTTTTCCATGGTGAACAGAAAACCTGGATACCTGGTAATCAGACAGAACAGGACAGGTGAAAGTCATGTAGAATGTAAGCAGGCACAGTATAGGAAATCCTGTAGTCCTGTTAAGTCACTCTGAGTTTCAATCCAACTAACTGACCTGAGCTGCTTGAAGTTGGTGGCCATGGCTTAGGACTAAAAAGTCAGAGACACTCTTCCTCAGAAGACCTACTTCAGTAAATAGCAAATCCAGAGTGAAAGGGAAAAGCACATCCTTGGTGACTGAAAGACATAAAGAGACACCAGTAAGAAGTACTGTACAAGAGTCATCACAGACCAAATGTTATATACCTGCTTCTTCAGTGTTCCCATTATGGTTGCAAGGGGAGGAAAACTCTGCAACCTTTAAACTGAAAAATAAAGACTATAATAAGGCTGTCCACATAATTTAATAGGGAAGATAAGGATGTTGCCATGGGATTGCAGGGAGTTCAGTAAAGTATTCTATGCTCAGTGAGTTAATTTAGTGGAATTATGACTCAAACACTGAAGAGCATTGATGATGGTGCTCTGTAACTTGGTGGGCTGCTGGAGACAAAGAACAGGAGGCTAGAGAGACACCATTCAAGGAATCAGTTCACTAGCACTGTATACCTCTTCTGTCCAAGTCTATAGTAGCAGAATTGAATGGAGTCCATACACTAGCGATTGAAAATCTGACAAAGTAACTGAAATATGAGGGATACAAAACATGCTCCTCCATGTGACCTTGTAATAAACAAAAGATTAGCCCTACAATTTTTTTTTCACCCACTCTTCACTCATTTTGCCTCTGCATGCCCAAAATATCCATTAGGGATAGGAAAAGGAATATAATTGTAAAGATAAATGAAACAATATAAATTGGGACAGAAAAAAGAGCAGGAGGGTGGAAGCAAAAGTATTTGAACAACTGTTTAGTTGGCATGAGCTGTCATAGCTCTACTGAAATCAATGACAATGGAGCTATGACAATTTACACCACTGAGGATCTGCTCCTTTGAAGAAAAGCTTATTAAAACCTCTAATGAATTAAGAAATAATGAGAATTTTAGCTAGTCTTTTAGTCTAGTATTAGGAACAATGTTCTGCCCCACAAGAGATATAGCACAGGTTTGATGTCACGATTTGACTTCTCTTTCTGGTCAGCAAGATCCAGGAAACATGCAGTATTGGAGTGCTCAATGCTTGTGTGAAGTATGTGAGCATTAAGGTGTTATAGACAGATGTATGTGTCTGATTATGAGGGGAGAGGGACATTATTTCATGGAGATGGCTATCAGGCACCTTCAGAATAGCATTGATGGTTTTTGAAGAGAAGCAAGGACAATGGCTCTGCTGATGGAGTGATCATTTTTGCTACTGACTCACTCAAGGAGTCACCTTTTTCTCTAAGGGAAAGCCAGTTTTAGGATTGTGGTGGTCCCCTCCCTCAACATACATTTTTTAATCATTTCTTTCCCTCTACTCTAAAGGATATTCAAATACAACTCTGCACATACACATGCATATACAGATGACCAATGTGCTCAGACACTGGAAGATACTTACAGGAGACTCTCAAAAAATACCTATTATAAATGGGATAGTTCCAAAAGGCAGATGTCCCCTGTTTTCCAGTGGCCCTTTGGCAGTGGATTCCAAAATTGGGCTTTCCCTATGGGCACCTTCATTAATTTTTGGATATGAACTTAAACACAATTTTGTTCATGTTGTCACCTGTCAAAGGTCCTGAGAAAGAAGAGGAAATGCCAGCTTTGGAAAGGTAGCTGTAATTATTTATCCATGGATCTTTCAGCAGTTCTTTCATTGCCTTCCTGGAAAGAAGGAGAAAAAGGTTGGGTGTGAGGCAACCACACACTTTTCTCTTCTCCTCAACAATCCCCCCTCTCCCGGAAAAATTAGAATTCAAATATGAATTGAGCTTGTGACAGAAAAAATAAGGCTGCCATTTTGGAAGGCATTTTAGAGAGGATAGGCAATATACATTTAAAAATATAAACAGATGCAAACAACACATTGATATGTAGTTAAACAAGCACTTTTTGTAAAGTTTCCCTTTTAGTATCTATCTCCCAAATGAGGAAGAAAATGGCCTGGCAATAAATAAATAATACACACACACACACACACACACACTGTATATATTATAATATATAGTTACACAGACACTATTAAATCTATCGGAATATAAAATAATACACATATATGTGGTTTTGGCAACTATTAATCATTATTAATTAAATATTATACACACACACACATCTAAGCCTTATTGGTTGTAACTAATCTTACTTAAACAGTGGTTTTCAACTTTTTTAGACTCAAGATACTCTTCATGTAGACTCAAGGCACCCCTCAGAAAATGCCAGTTCTTAGCTTTCATTCATTTTTTGACTATGGAAAAAATGGTAGAGCAATTCTTGCATTACAAAGACCTGAAAAAGACCATGGCAGGATATTTTTGACATTATGGGTTCCTATTTGAAATCTCTGCATTAATCTTTTGAAGCATGTTAGGGTGTCTGCCCACCTAACAGTGCTAATAATATGTAGCATCCTATGGCACCCTTAAAAGGATTTCACAGCACCTCAGGGTGCTGCAGTACCCTGGTTAAGAATCACTTTCTAAAGCATGAGAAAGACTGAGGAATATTGATCATGCTATAAGAGAAGAATGAGGACAGCGGAGCGAAGTGGAGTTGTGGAATGTTACTTTCCTAGCACTGAGTTTTGCTAGGAGTAGCCTGGGTCTACTGCTATTTCTGCCAGGTACATAGTATGATGCGCTAAAACTGGGTAACATATCCCATGTGACTAATCTATTTGGTGAATTTAGCCACCTTTGATCTGTGAGTTATCTGCAAACACTGACTGATATTTTTAAATTAGTCTATTGTTTAAAATGATCCCATGGCTGATTTATATAAACATATTTCAGCCGATGGCTTGCTTAAAAACTCTTTACCACAGGCAGTGCTTTAATTGATGGCTGCTTCTAATTCTTTATTCATACTGTGGGGTTGATCTCTTAAATCATGGAGTGGTGTTTCTGTTTCCTGATTGCACAACTTGCACACCTCCAAAAAGTTTTGAAAATGACCAGGTAAATACAAATACTTCCAGAGTGAATGTTCCTCTGAATATCTGTTTATGGGAGCATTCATACCACTTCCCATTTCTGCATGTTTTTGTGAATAAAAAGTTGTTCAGACAAATCTGTGCAGGAAGTGAATAAAAAAGACAGTGACTATCTTGGAACTGTATTCACATTTTTAACTGACCAGATAATATTAAGACTTTTGTAGAGGATTATGCACAGCTCAAAAAAAACTTTTCCTTTCAGCCAACTGCTTGTTTAAGAATCTTGAGAGAGTAATAAGAGAGCTATAAAATAGGTTTTATGCTTCAAACTGGTTCTTTATTATAAAAACTTTTGTGGTTTTTACACTAACAATCTGGTGTTCCAATCAGTGTTGCCCGCTGTCTTCAGCTGACATAATGAGACATCAAATATCAGTGGCCTAAAGCAACAAAACTGAGGACTTAAATTGGTTCGCGTAGGAAAATGAGACAACAATGAAAGGAAAAGGAAAATGTAGAGCATGAAGAGAAAAAGGGAAGGAGAGGAGAACGGGAACAGAGAAAAGAATGTATTTAAAAGAAGAGGGGGGAAAAGGGGTTTTGGGTCTAAAAGTAACAATTCATTTGCCACACTCACCTTGCTGGGTGATGGGGAGAATGTAAACTACTCTGGATTTTTGACAGCAGAAATGTTGCCATTTCTGTTTCCAGTTCACGGGTGGCCAGTAGGATATTGGTGATGTCCATGGGCAAAGGTTCATTGTCTAACAGGATTTCCGCAGCAGTCAGGCGACAGGTTTTTTCATACTTTCTCATTTTCTCATGGAAAATTCTTCTCATTGCTTTTTTCACCTAATGTCAGAATCCAGTTAAAACGTTAATCCTCACTATTCTTAACGTGAGGGCCTTATCCTCTTTCACATTTGTGCACTTCTGTGGTATTTATGTAGCTGTGTAACTGTAGCTTTTGGCATTTGTACACTGTCTGGGAGTCAGCATAACTATACTCACCTCACACTTTCCTACAGCACAAGCTCAGTAGGCTGCACTCTGATGGAGCAGGTGCCTGGGCATAACAGAATTGCCTTGGTGCGTGCAGAATACAGGTATCAGAGACCACCAGAAGCAGGCGTTTCCAACTTTTAGCCCAATGGCTCAGTGGTAGGGCACCTGCCCAGGGAACAGAAAGCCTATATCCTGAGCCTCTCTCTCAGAGGAAGTTTGAGTCTGTCTATCCTACTTCAAGAAGCAGGTCTCAGGGTAGGAATTGCCCAGAACACTCCCCACCTCCTCCTTGAAGCTGGCTCACTGTGTGTTGCCAGTAGGGTTGGCATTCACCGGGTAAAATAGACAAAGAGCACTGAGATAGTTTCTGCCTCAGGCTAGAACCTGGACCCCACCCCTCCCAGTCTACCTCAGTGAGCCACCCTCCTTCCACTTTGTTATCTCCTCCTAGCCACACACATCTTCCCTTCCTAGCTCCTCAATAGGCCAGGCTCAAGATGAGGGTGGAAGTGCACTCTGGGCAATGCTAAGCCCTTGGCCTGCTGGTTAGAGCACATTGCTGGGAAACAGAAGAAGCAAATTCAGATGCTTCCACACGAGGAGCCCTAAAATCTGGACCTCCTCCTCTGTGTGTAAGTTCGCTACCAGTAGGCCATTGGGCTAGAAGGTGGAAGGGTCTTCTTCTACCTTTTTCTCCCCTTTCTCCATTTTCCTTCTTGCAGTGATGTATGTAAGTCAATCCTATTCTGCCACAGCTGCAGACAGAATCCAGCCTGTGCAAAGTGGTGGAGACAGTAAGTCTATTCATCATGTGATAATTCAACTGCCTGGAGAAATTTATTTTAGCAACTAATACTTATGTAGCAAGCACACACCTTGTTTTCTTCTTTCCCAAGGGCAGGACAGAGGGGCTTCTGGGAAGGGCAGCTAAAACCACTACCTTGATGCAGGACATGGAGACCTGCAGTAGTTTCAAAGATGGCTAGATGAGAATGATATCTTCTGTCCTTCCTAACACCCCTGCAGCCACAATATTTTGTGGAAAGATCAAATGACCAAAGAAAAGCTCTGAGCTAGGTGGGTTTTTTTCATACCTCACCAGTGATGTGTTGAGTGGAGAATCTTTGTAGTGCAGACACTGCTGTACCTGAGACTGCTGCAGAGCCTTCCTCTGCATAATTCAGAAGGATAGGAATGGTTTCAGGGAGCAGGGCATTCTTCAGGGACAAGAGGTAAGTGACCATCTCAGACTCCTCCTCAGTTTCACTTAACCTTCTCAGAACAGTTTCCATTCCAAGTTCTACTTCCTGTTTGTTTGAAGAAGCAGAGGAGGATGAAGAAGGATCACATTTCAAGTAGCCATGGAAAAGAAGGGAGGGCTGAAAAGAATAACTATAGTTATTGTGTCAGGAAACCCACCTGCAATCCACACAGCTTCATCCGGCACAACTTACCAACTAGGGAGCCAGTGACAATTATCCCTGTTTTCCAGATAGCAGGGGTTAATTGCTTTCCATTCAGCTTGTCCTGGGAGACCAGAGATGAGGGGGTGTAAGAAAATGAAGGCAGAGAAAGGTGAAGATGAAGAAGCCATTTTTTAGTGATTACCCCAGAGAGTTTATTGAGAACATCTTCCTAAGTTTGCTCCCATCTGCATTGGAGGAGGCAACTCATGAGCTACTGGTAATCCTGTAACATGCTGATTTCTACAGTGAGCAATTAAGCTCCCATTGTCTGTAGCATGCTGATAAAGAACAAATTCTGCTGTAGGTATTTCCTCAGAGGAATGTTTCTTCCCATGTCAGGTATCCACTTGAAACCATATAAAATAATATAAACAGAGGGATTTAGTCGCATAAAAATATATTTTGCTTTGCCACCATAGTCTTCTTGTAGGGGGTTTCTTTCTCTTTGATAGACCCTAAAGACTCTGGGTTTTTTATCCCTCTGTTATAAAACTCTCCTTTTACTGTACAAAGTTTCAAAATTCTACCTGATGAGAGCTGCATGGCCCAGTCCAGTGTGGGGGAAAGGGGAGCAGGGAGGAGAGGCAGCTGGGAGAAGTTACTGCTGAGTAAAGGACAGTGATGCAAGATCACTTTCTGAACAAGTTATCACAGATTCTAATTGGGCACGTCTACATGTGGAATTAATACACCTGAATTTTCTGCACAGAAAATTCAGGTGCAATAAACTGTTCCTAGGCACGTATCTGAACATGAGCCCATCAGGAGTAAATTTGTTCCCAATGGGAGCAGTTCAGTCCAGGGCTGCTCCTTCCCTACTCTGCCCCCCCTCCAGTAGCCAGGGGGAGCTCCAGGCTTCCCCGGATGCCAGGGCTGGCAGGGGTGACAGGGACTGGTCTCAATCTCCAAGGCGGGGATGGAGCTGTCAAGGCTCTGGGAGTAGCTGCCTCTCAGCCATGTGGAGATTGGGACCCAGTCCAATCTGCATGCAGCTGGCAGGCAACTGCCCCCAGAGTTGGGACAGTTTCCCCCACCCTGCAGAGATTGGGGCTGAGCAGGCAGCAGTTGTGGCCCTCTGTTGCCTGGGCTGACCAGGTGCACAATTTGCTCCTGGTCAGGGTCTACATATACTCTACAGTACATTAGTTAATGCACTGTTTTTCTAGTAGATGTACGTATTGGTAATAGCAAATGGCACATTAGACTGGTTTAATATGCCGTAATTGCCATGCATGTGTATATGGTGATGCTTTACTGCTCATTAGATTAGTCTAATGTGCAGTAACGTGTCTCCTGTAGATGCACCCACTGGGCAGTAAGTGTGTGGCTGGCTCTGGCTGAATGCCAGAATGAAATGTTCCTACCTGAGTACTGGGTCCTTCAGAAATGTAAAAAAGAAATTTTAAGTAGGATCAGAATTAAACAATTTTCTGCTATGAGGATGGACAGGGGCACAAGAAAGAAAATGCTTACTAATAAGAAAGGAAACTTACTAACAACAGGCGAAGAAGCTCTTTTGAGGGTCGAGGAGAGAAGGCTGCAGCATAGAGAAACTTTTCCACCAAGGGCTCTTGCTTTTTGTTGCTGAAATCCAGAAATTCAGAAAGAGCCACTAGGGAAGCTGTTGACTGGGCAGCCACTGCAGCATCAATGAAGAAGGGACTGAAATGGGAGAAGGCAAAGGATTATGTGTGCTATCTTCAGCTAGTGATGGAGAGAAGCGAAGTGCCTGGGGACAGCTGGTCCTCTATTGGTGTAAATTAGCATAGCTCCACTGAAGTTAATGACATTACATTTCTTTATATCAGCTGGGGACATGGACCTTGTTTCTGTTTCCCCTGAACCTAGATAAAAGAGCCAATTCAGCCCTCCATTGAAGTCACATGGAAATGCACTCCCTTAAATTGGGGATACCTTGACCCCTTGCCTTTTCAAATGTGTACAGAGTAAATCCAGCATCATTTACTTTCTACCTAAATATAAACACTTCCTGAAGCTTCAGCTAATAAGTAACAGAAATAGATCATAAGTTAGCATATCTATAGAGCCGCTCATCCAAAGATAATGTAAAAAATACAAAACAAAACAACCCCTCAATATAAAAAGTAATATGCAGCAGTTGCATATCTGGCACTATATTTAAATGTAATAAAATACGATCCACATCACTTAGCACCTCCTCTTAGCAGCTATTTAATAGCATACAGTGATGCTAACCAATGACTGTGGTTAGGAAGGAAAGAATGACATAATCTATGGCATTAGAAATACATGCTGGGCCACAGAGAGCAAGGATTTGCATTTCTGTAGGGTCACACACGTCTGAAAACTTCACCAGAAGATTCAGTCTAATATGAGCCAAGTCTGCACCAGAGACATGTGGCTTGTTTGAAAAGGCCATATCCTAGCTGTAAGTTTTAAGTATGTGAATTACACTTAAAAAAACGGGCCTTGAACTTCCCAGAAACATTATTTGAAGTGCTGGGAATAAGCTGGAAATGCTATTGTGTCTTTGTATGTCAATTAAATCTGATTATTTAATTAATAAATCCAGAAACACGAGAGCGGGAAACAAGGGCCTCTGCCTTTTAGATCAAGACAAGCATTGATGGGTTGACTTACACTGTCTTCTCTGAAGCCTTCCTCAGCAGCTGGAGCACATCCCTCTTTTTGGCACTGTGCAACATCTGAATGAGCCTGTGGAACTGCCAGGTTGTTGACACCTTTGAGATATCCATTCTGACTCTCCTATTACCAACTGTCTTCAGATAGTCTTTTAGCTGAAAAGTAACACTCATATTATTAATAGCAGCAAGGTTATATGGCTTCTTTCACTGATACAGCCCAAAGCTGGAATAACATTTGAAGAGAATAAATACAAGGGTTTCTTAAATATAACCAGCCTGGGGTGGACGTAGATATCCCATCCAGCACAGCACATTATACGCACATTTTTAGAATAGGAATAAGGAACGTTGTATCACTGTAGAACATTATTAGTCAACAAGAATTTGTTCAGGGACAACATCTTTGTTCTTGTAAAACTTCTATGAAGTGTGTGATGACTAAAGACAGCCAGAAGCTTGCTCACAACAATTCCACTCCACACAAAGGGAGGAATAATGTCCTTAATACATAGCATTTCTTCCTCCTGCAGCATCCTTGTACTGGCTCAGGTCAGTCCCACTTACATTATGATAACTGCAAGATGACAGCCAGACATATTGTTCTAGGGCATTAAATTCCTTGGCTCCCCTACAGAGAACAAGACAGGTTGAAAAGGCAGAAGCTACGAAGTGAAGAACCACAGTGAAAAGGAAAAGAACTGGAAGCCAAACTGTGGGCTCTCTTATTACAAGCCAAGTCCTCCTACTCAGCTCTAAGGAGGCCCGTACACCAGATGTCCTCCTACTGTAGTTTTTGCATTGCCCTTAAGAAAAGACCAAGTGGGGGAGTAAAACTATCATCCTTGAAAAGCTAATGAAAAATTCAATTCCTGGCCTTCAGTTTTCAAACTTCTTAAAGAAAAAAAGAATACAGGCAGTCAATTGCCAAGAATACTTATTGAGGCAGGACACCAGATATGGAAATAAATAACATTTTCAATCAGTGAGGAAAGTGGGTTCATGATGGTGGAGATGGGCATGCCTTTGACATGTCACCTGACATGAGATAGGAAAGTTGATGAGATCTAAGGACAACTGCTGCTCCCACAGAAATCACAAAACTAATGGAAATGCATTAAATAGGTTGGTTTTGGCGGGCTGTTTTTGAAGAATGATCATGAGAGAGCTCTTTATGCTGTGGGTCTGACCAGACTAGCAAGGCATCCTATATAAGACACAGTGGAGTAAATATTCTACTAAACTAGAAGTCACAAGACATGAGGTAATCCCAATCATGCATCTAACCTATCTGATCCTGAGAAAAGACCTTGTCTCCTTGATTCCTCTAACACTTTTATCTATTTCGTCTGTACACATTTTGCATTGAGGGCTGTCTCTAATTGCTAAGCTTTTATAGAGCTTAATATAAACAGATATCTGATAGATTTGGGGCTTCTATACATTACTGTAAGACAAATAATATGAATAACATAGTCATTATCAGAACTGCCATAAGAGGTCCTTTCAGCCTATTGCTGACTACTCTGTTCAAGTGATATTAAAGAACCTGTAACACTTTCAATAGCAGTGGTGTAGGACCCCACAGTTATTTCCTCCATCAAGAAAGCAGTTTTAATCTCCAAGGCTCTGTATGCATTATTACAGAACTCATAACCCACAAAATCATTCCAGTAATGGGCCTGGGATCATCATCATTGATTAGAGACAGTGAAACAACACTACTATAAATGACCCTCAATGAAACCAAATTCCACTCAAAGCAGAAATGTTCTTCTCCAATATAAAGGCTGAAGACAGTGGTGGCATTTGGATCATTTTGCTGAGATTGGGGGAGTTTATGTAGTATTTATGGGAAACTATGGACTCCTATACACGTGCAGGGAGACTGTTCCAACACACTGTAATTACAACATGTCGGAGCAGACTCCAGCATCATGTGTATCAGTATCCCTATGCTGAAAAATGGCAGCGGGGTGCTTTAAACTAAAGTTCATTTGATGAGCTTTAGTTCAAAGCACCCCACGGTCATTTTTCAGCGTGGGGACTCCGATACACGTGATGCTCTGGGTGCTTCAATTAGCGAGGCTGCCAGAGCTGTGCTAATTAAAGCACCCCACCAACCTCTTGAAGCATGTCTATAAACACCCTATAAAAATACCTAGACATTAGGAGGTATTTGACTCCAATTGCCTACAGGCTGCTGTTACTTCTGCCTAGAGCAGTTGCCTTTCTCACTCTGGGCACACTACCAAAGGTCTCTTTACATTTATACATCATTTCTATATGAAAAGACTTCCTACATGCTGTCTATATCAAAACTATTCACAGAACACTTTTGTGCTGTTTTGTTCATTTACAAAGTGACAGCTACTGACTGGGTGTGTCTACACGTTCATTAATGCACCTTAGGTACTGCGTATTTAATTTAGTACTTGCTTAATAAAATATTAACTAAATGTGCAGTAACTAGAGTTACTGCGCAGTAGCACCAGTGCATGGTTTTTTCATGATGCTTACTGCGCATTAGCCTAATAGCACTGCGCAGTAGGCTATTAGGACAGGTTTTAACTGCCACGCTACTGCACAGTGTTATTAGACTAATGCGCAGTAAGCATCTCCTGTACATGCGTCCAGTGTGTACCTGATATTTACACTTTATTGCTTTGTGCACTGATAGGTTTTTTTAACCTTCTCAGGCCTGCCAGCCTTCTGCAGACAGCTCTCCGTGTATTGTGTGTTTCCAGGTATCAGATTAGAATACAGAGAAAATTCTTCTGCAAGTGTTTTAAGGCTACTCACCGAGGAACACTGAGTACACATTCTCTTGAAGGGCTGGCTAACTAAGCTTATGGGCTGGTGCTTTTCCAATAAGCTATCCAGAGCTTCCTGAAGGCTTTGTCCATGAATCTCTGCAAGGCCAGGCATTGAAGAAGACATTAGTTCAAGCTGCTGTCTGGGGAGAGAAAAGAGGCTGATGAGAGGTTTTCATTTCTTAAATCTCCCTTTGCTCTGAATTCGGTCAGGGTATATTCTGATAATGTTCCCTTTACCTGATCTGAGCTAACGTATGAGCCGGATGAACTGGAATCTTTCCTGTGGAAAAGAATTTAACCTCCCCCCATTCCCTTTCCCAAAGACTGATTTTCCCCATTGTGCCCAATTCTCATTACACAGACCCAACACCAGACTGTGACAGGGAGAACAAGCCTGGATGGAGCGAGTATACATTCAAGCTGGCAAGTCTGGTAAACATACATTGATCCCATTCTGACTCATTCTATGCACGCAGCCCCATTGAACCAGCACAGAACTAACCTTGAAGTGATCATGATGCCAGTAGAAGACCTCAGAGTTAGGGAGACTACATGACTTTCTTCAGACAGCACTGATTGGATGACACTTCCCTTCATTAAGTACAGACTTCTGCTGATAGGTTGCAACTGAACGCCAAAAATCTTTAAAAGAGTTAAACAAGCATATTTTCAATTTTCTAGTCTATTTTGTTCTTGTTCTCCTTTCACTTTTCTATTTCAGGCAGTACTCTCTATGCAGTTCATAGTGTTATCCTTGAGCCTAGTGGATGACAGAACCACTTCATAATGGAAACAAAGTGCAATTTAGCAGGGTCATCAGTTGCAAATCTGTAGTTAACACGCCCAGGATTGTGAACTAGTGGGGGGATACTGCCTGTTGGGCTTGATGAAGTACATTGGTAGAACAGTATGGAATCTAAACCTGTAATAGTTCGGGTTACTGTGTGGCATATACTGCCATTGTTCTATGGGCTCTAAAACATCAGAATGGACTTGAGATTTGGTTTGAAACACAATAGCAGAAATATAGCTTGGTGGAACGATGGAACAGCAGAGGGTATATCAAACAAGAAGTGGGATTCAGGGACAGCTAATTAGGAATTCAGGTCCTTGCAGGCTAGGACTGGCATACCTTTGCTAAGTTCCATGCAGATCTAGCACTAGACCAAGATGTCATAGCTGAGGTGCACTGACACTTGGGAGGTACCAGAAGGTTGGAAAGGCTGGAGTATTTCTGGCCAGAATGAGGAACAGTGGCTGTGCTGTGAGGAAGCAGGACTAAAGTAGTAGGAGAGGCTGCATGTGAAAATTGAGTTGCATGAGGATAGTAATATGGGCTGTGCTTCAAGAAAGGAATATTACAGTTAAATTGCTGTGCTTCAGGTTGGTTGGAGTGGCAAGACTTTCATGAAGTTGAACCCAGGCTTTCCTGAACACCAGCTTGTTTGTAAAATGAAGAGAAGGAAAGTAGAGACATATTCAGTCTATTTTCTATAGTAGCTGTAGAGGATAGAGCTGATAGTTACTCGTAGAGTGGAGTTGCTCCCTGGATCCAGTAAGATCTGGCAAATCCCTTTGCTGATGTCAGAATATGCCTACTACAAGCAGCTTTCTATAAGAAAAATATTGGGCTCTAACAAGGACATCCAATCTTGCCTGGGAGGAGTGGGTCTGCCAAGATGCACCTGGTGCTTTTCTTGGCACCAGAGAGGTTGAAGGGGGAGATGTTTCCTCTTAAGTCCTAGCTCTGGCTGAGATCTGTGCAGTGGACATGCACCACACCACAGAAGGTTTGGCTCATTACAAATTGTTATCACTAAAGCCTTAGCTAAAGAAAAAAACAGGGCAACACTCTCAGGGTAAAAGGGACAAGGCAAGAGCAGAGAATTTGAACTGGGGGGAGACAGAATTTTTGTCTGGGATCAGCTGATCCCTGACCAGGCATGCACAGCTCAAACCTGCACAAGCATGCTCAGGATAAGGCAGTGGAGATGAGTTTTGACAGTGTTATGCACAACAGCTTTGTGATGGATGAATGTCCACCAGGGACTATACCGAGATCACCAAACATGTTTCATTTTTTATCTACTCCATAATTTTGTTCCAGGGATAAAAATCAAAGATATTAAACCGCTGCACTGGCTGGCTTGGCATTTCCTTTAGCTGTCAAGAGAGACACAGTACTCTCTGGGTAATCACTAATGAAACAAATCTGAAACGAATCTCTCACAAGGCAATAGCAATAGATTCTGGATGGCATCCCATTAGCCACTTTTGAGGTTAACTCACTCACTCACTACAGTCTCTCTTCAACAATCCTTCTCAGTAGTTTCCTGGATAGCTACCTACTGCCTTTGTCTTGTATCATGCTCGTTGTCTTTTGTAATCACACATACTCAGGCAATCTTGATAGATGACCTGCACTTCCAAAGCCCTTGCACTTAAGACATGAACTTGGGGAACATGGTTTAAGAAATTAAGAATGAGACAAGAGAGCCTTTCATCTGTAAGTGGCTGGTCTTCCTACTTTGTCCACAGTACAGTAACCTACAGAAAATATTCTGATGTCTCAGTCCCATTTCTACAGTTGATTCAAATCACCTTCAGATACCATTACAAGTCTCATCGGAAAGGTCAAGGACAAAATTAACCTCTTTCTATTGGGACGGTCCCTTGATGAAAGGTTTTATATTAAAATTCCATTTATACAGGATTAATATATAGTTAATCAATTGTTATAGATCATTATAAAGTATAATGGGTCAATAGGATTGCTTATGGATTATTATCACCTATAATACTTCCTACTGACGTACTTAAAACCATCTATGATGACTATTCTGTCTGTAAAATGATTATAGCATCAATTACCCATTTATTAATCCTTTATAAATGGAATCTTAACATGAAGTGTGACTGGTTTAGTAAGGGAGGGTCTTCTGTGAATAAAGAAAAGCCTCATTCTGTAGTAGTATCAATCCAGCAAATTCATCAGCATTTAAAATACTAAAACTAAAAAACCCAAAACTGTAATTGGAAAAAGCAATGAGCTGAAAGGGCAAGCCTCTTCCACTGGTGCCACAGAGCCTGTTTCAAGTGAAAAAGAGAGAAGCAGAAATAATCAAAAGTGAATCCAAGCCAAACATCTTTGGCTTCCCTGCTGCATTGCAGAATGACCTTGTGAGGTTCTTTTTAAAAAAAAAGAAATGACGCAAATGCTAGACTTCACCCGTCACCTCTCTTCTTCACCTCTCTCCTTCACTTGGAGACCTCTGATAAGTTCAGATGATGTTATCTAAACACCTGGGCCATGGACTCAGGGCTTCATTATGAATAGGGGCCAATGAGGAAGGCAAGAACCACAGGGAATGGTAGTACTGTGAATATTCGTACATGAGACACAGGGACTGTTTACTTAGTGAATTAAAAGAATAATACTACCCAGCCTTTACAGAGTACTTTTCAACAGTACGTTCCAAGCACCTTATAAATATGTGTCAGCATCCTTCATTGCATTTTACACATTTACACTTGCCCTACAGTCAGACCATGGCAGAGACAGGAATGGAATTCAAGTTTCTTGGGTCCCAGTCAGGCACCTGGTCCACTGAACCATGCTATGTCCTTTTCCACTCCAGGTGTTAGACTCTTAATCCAGTTTTCAGGAAGGTCAACAGAAAGATTCTTATTAACTTGATGGTAATTAGGCTGTGCCTTTTAGTTCTACTATTGCCTCCATTCACTCTTGCATATACAAAAACCTGTTCTGGACAGAATATGTTCTCCTAGAAGAAATTCCATTACTCCTCTGGGAAAATTTGTCAAGTTTTAAATTGCAGCAGTTTTTTCTATATGAATACTACTATTAGGTCACATGTAGTCCATGCCAATGAATGTTTACTCCCTATGGTATAATTCCCAGGGTTTTGTTTGGTTTAGCAAAATATATGGATCGCATTCAATTTTGGCATAAGCAGAAGTAACTCCATTAAAATCAGTAAAGGTGCACCTGTTTACACTAGGGTGCTGAAACCAATCAATGGGCTTCTGTCACTTCCCTTGGAACGTTGCACAATTCAATAAATATAATTATTAGAAACTATTTCTGGATGTGATGTTATGTGTTTGCCTGCAATAGAAAAGGACTGAACTTAATGACTCTGGAGGTCCCTTCCAGTTTCATGTTCTTAGAACCTACTTGCACCTTTTGGGTACAGAGTATGGAGTAATTTTTCATCTAATTTTGACCTAATTCTTCACCAGCTATGAAGCTCTGGCAGAAAAGGACCTGAGGAAGCTTCAGAACTGAATCTTTTTCTTATTCTTCAAAGCTTCTTCTAAATCTCAGCAGAAAATGCTTGTAATATAACTAAGACTGTGCATTCTGGGACTTTTCTAAAGCTACTGATCTTCCGCTAAGATAAGGAAAGACAGTAATACATTTAAAAGGGCAAGCTGCAGGGCAAGAAGTATCCTAAACCACCATCCCCACCATATAAATAAACTTGCTTTGTTAACAGAGGTGAATCCAAATCTGGGCCTTGTGCATTCTTGTAGATCTTTTGTCTTCACAACAGAATCCTTGGAAACAGTGTATACGACTTTACAGCTCCCAGAAATGTCCTCCTAAAAGCAAACAAATATAAAAAGTTGTGCCTTGAAGTTATAATATGTGACTAAAACCTGTTCACATATATAAGGCCATTTTGTACAAAATTGATATAGTCAATTATAAACACAATATACAGAATATCAGCATGAACCCCAAACAGGGTTATACTTTGAAAATGAGACCCAAAGTCCATAGGTAGCTTTCCATTTTGTAGCTCTCAGTTATTGCAACAGAGTGCTTGAAGCTGGCATCTGCATACTCAGATAGATATTTGATAACTAAATACTCAATTGTGCTTGTAATTATCCATGTTTATGGGCAATTATAGGCAAACAACTATGCCTGCATTTTTGAGCATGGACTGTGGCTGTAGTTTCCTTCTCCTCCCCACCCCACAAACTTTGGCTTAAGTCACAAAGGCTAATCAAAGACAGTGGTAATATATCATCACCATCTGATTGCTGTTTAGCCTTCATTATATGAACTGTGCTCCCAGCAAAGCTCCTATTTAACTTTATTTGGTTACTTTCACTTAAATTTCTTTTTTGTTTATTGTCCATGAGTGGATTGGAGCTCAGCTCAAATGATTTTCAATATCATTTTCAACACTTTCAAAAATATTTCCAGAATTTTTTATAAACAAGTCTTGATTGCCATTTGTTGTTCTTTTCAAGTGTTTTATACCCAAAGTTTGAGCCAAATTAGCAGCTTTGATTTGCTGACAGATCACATGCTGGGCATATCTTCCCTGCTGTTGGGTGAATGTAGCTTAGAAATAAGTTTCTAGTAGAGATGCTTGCAGATTCAAAAGTTGCTTTTGGACACTTAACTTCATCAATATTTGTCCAGTTCCACTATCTGCCAACAATTCTGCCACTATGCTAATGACACTGTTTGTAGAAAGTTAATACCAAAAGGGTATTTTTTCACTCCAGAGATGGTTTTATTGATCTGCTAGAGAATGTTTGGGGATAAATCCCTGCAGTATTTTTCTTCAGACAAACCCAGACACTTTACCTACCTCAGTTATTCTCCCAGCATGTGGCTGGAATTGTAGGAGACTGATGAGTCCTCGTTTCAGATCCAAGATCAAGGGCTTTTCTTCTCTATCTCCATAGATGCCTTCAACCTACAAGGAGAAAAATTTGCTTTATAGAAGAGAACCCTGAAGAAGCTAAGAATGGGATAATAACCTAGTTAGCATGGAGATAAGCCAATACCAGGCAGTAAGAGATGCAGCCCTTCTGCTGTTGCAGGGACAGAGAGCTCCCCTGTCCCAGTGCTGCTCAGCTCCTGGCTTCTGGGGGAGCTGGGAGCTGAGCAGTGACAGGACTGGGGACAGAGAGCTTCCCTGTCCTCTCAGCAAGCAAAGTGAGGGGAGGGCTCAGGGCCACTTGGCTATGGGGCATCGCCCCAAGCCAGCTCCGCTGACCTAGGCTGTGATCCTGAGCACCGCACTGAAGCTATGGGCAGCTCCCCTTGCCCCTGTGGCTCTCTGCTGCCTAGGCTGACTAGGAGCAAATTGCTCTTGGTCAGCTTCTACACGTGCATTACTATGCAGTAGCTAATGCATGGTTAATCTAGTACCTGTATTTCTTGGTACTAGCACACCACATATTAGCCTAATTTACTGTGCTGTAAGTCCCACACATGTGTAGATAGAGATGCTTTACTGTGCATTAGATTAGTCTAATACGCAGTAAAGCATCTTGTGTAGTTGCACCCCTAAAGGATTAAAAATGTCCCTGAATAGCACAGGCTTATTTTCACAATGGACTTAGGAATTCACAAGCCTTCAGTTTGCCCTGGGAGCACCAGGAATACTGCCTTCCTGTTAGACCTAATAAAATAAAATAAAACAAAGTAATGAAGATGCTGGTCTTCATCCTGCTGTGTGGAAATCCTAGTTCCAGTCTCTTTCTTTCATTCCATTGTGTTCTATTTTGGTCCTTTTACCACCCTCATTATGGTAACATTCAAGCATCTTCCATTAGAGGGTTAAGGGGCATAATCATCTGTTGACAGAGACCAGAAGGTAGAGTGGGACACTTATTCCTAGGAGGAAATGCCTTCTAGACACACACCAAGACAAATCTACCAATTGGATCATAGACAGATACAGGAGAGACACCAGCCTACCAACTATTAGCGCAGACTTAGTGAAAGGGCAACTGGGGGGGCTAGATGTGTTCAAATCAGTGGGCCCGGATGAACTTTATCCAAGGGTGCTGAAGGAATTGGCCACTGTCATAGCAGAGCCGCTGGCACAGCTATTTGAGCACTCATGGTGCTTTGGCAAGGTCCCAGAGGACTGGAAAAGGGCCAAAGTGGTCCCTATTTTCAGGAAGGGGAGGAGGGAGGGACTGGGAAACTATAGGCCAGTTAGTCTCCCCTCTATCCTTGGGAAGACTCTGGAAAAAATCATTAAAGATCACAGTTGTGAGAGCCCAGCAGGGGAAATGATGCTGAAAGGAAATCAGCATGGATTCATTGCAGGTAGATCCTGCCTGACTAACCTTGTTTTTTTTTTATGACCAGGTCACAAAATGCTTAGAGACAGGAGTCGAGGTAGATGTCTTCTACCTAGACTTTAAGAAGGCCTTCGATACAGTATCTCATTCTGTTCTCGTAAATAAACTGCTAGGCTGTGACATAGATGATTATACAGTCAGTAGGTGGCAAATTGGCTTAGGGTTGGGGTGAATGGGTTGATATCAACCTGGAAAGATGTGGGCAGTGGAGTCCTGCAAGGCTTGGTCCTTGGACTGGTGCTATTCAATGTCTTCATCAGTGACTTGGATGAGGGTGTGGAGAGCACCCTATCTAAGTTCTCAAATGATGCCTAATTATGGGGCAGAGTTAACACCAGCGGGTAGGGAACGGATCCAGGCGGATCTGGAAAGGTTGGAAAAACGGGCAGGATGAAATAGGATGCAGTTCAACAAAGACAAGTGCAAAGTGCTGCACCTTGGCAAAAAGAACCACCAACACACTTACAGGCTGGGGGAATGACCTTCTCAGCAGCACAGCAGCAGAAAGGGATCTTAGAGTCATAGTTGACTCCAAGATGAACATGAGTCATCAATGCGATGAAGTGATCAACAAGGCTAACTGCACTTTATCATGCATTAGCAGATGCATGACAAACAGGTCCAGGGAGGTGATGCTTCCCCTCTATGCGGCACTGGTCAGGCCGCAGTTGGAGTACTGCATCCAGTTTTGGGCACTGCACTTCAAAAGGGATGCAAAGAATCTTGAGAGGGTTCAGAGGAGGCCACTCGTATGGTCAGAGGCCTTCAGGCAAGGCCCTACGAGGAGAGACTGAGGGACCTAGATCTCTTCAGCCTTCACAAGAGAAGGCTGAGAGGTAATTTTGTGGCTGCCTATAAATTAATCAGGGGAGGGCAGCAGGGAATAGAAGATGCTTTATTTACTAGGGCACTCCCTAGAGTAATTAGGAACAATGGCCACAAATTGATGGAGAGCAGATTTAGGTTGGACAACAGAAAGAACTTCTTCACAGTAAGGGTTGCCAGAATCTGGAGTGGGCTTCCAAGGGAGGTGGTGCTCTCCCCTACCTTGGGGGCCTTCAAGAGGAGACAGGATAAGCACCTGGCTGGGGTCATCTGGTCCCAGCGCTCTTTCCTGCCCAGGGCAGGGGGGTCAGACTCTATGACCTACTGAGGTCCCTTCTCACCCTAACATCTATGAATCTCTCCCTACATCTTGATCAAGGAGGTGAGGGGTTTCTTGCATATAGGTTTGTAGGCATGAAACATTGACACACCTTCCCATTATTCCAGTGGAGGAAAACTGGTAGCTGTAGCTCTGCAGTATTCTCTTTGCCCAGTGTAGTTTCAGTGAATGGGCCTCCAGTTGCATTCTGATTCTTCTCATGTTCTGGTTCATGAGAGAATTTAAGGTTTTGGATCTAAAACAACAAAGGACAGAAGAAAGAAATGATTATGTGGACCACAGAGTGTGTGTGCACCGCAGGTCACAGCACTTCATCAGTTTGGCCTGAAGGGAACCTCTTTCTCTCTTATCTTTTTAGAATGTCCCTTGACTCTTTACAGACCCTGCTTACTTTGGAAATAGGAAATGTTAAGATAATTAATGTCATTCAAAGTTAGCATTGCCAAATGCTTATTCAGTGAAAGCCTAAAGCAGGCATATTGATGTTTGGGGGAGGATAAACCACATTGGCCAATTTCCTGAGAGTTGGCATATCTGGGAAAAACGTCACTTATTTACACAAGAACTTGTTGCTGATGGAGTCCAAGAAGATCCAACAGCGGTAGCTTTTCCGCCCAAATTCAAAGGAAATCCTCAAGCCACTGCAGAACACCATCACATACCTGCACTTGAAGAAGCTGCTCTCCAGCTTGACTTCTCCATAGTAGTTGCACATGAACTAAAGCTTCTGCCTTCATCCAGCTTCCTTGCAAGGACACCCTGGGGACATAACCTAGCTGGGCATCCAAGGAGTAGCGATACTGATAAAGGATTCCAGGCTGAAAAGATGGCATCTGTAAACTCCCTATGAAAAAGAAATTAGCAGTAGTGTAACTAGGGGCGGGCAATCAGGGAACCAGTCCCAGGTCCCAACTTAGACAGGTTACAAGATTGGTGGACACTGCTGCAACTGGCCAAGTCACTGCCATCAGCCCAGCCTATGACACAACAACCGCTTGTTACGCAGGCCAGCATTGAAATGATTTGTACATTTCTGCAAACTTGTGATTGCCTTGGATTCAGATTTATCTCAGGATATGGAAAGTTAAATGCCGAGACACTCATTGACATTAATAGACTTCTGATCCAAAAATATGTGCGATTAAATATTTTATGTTTTTATGCTATCCGGCCCTGCTACCAAGTTGGTAGGAAGAGCACCAATATGTTGCAACCTGCCCTGCACGTTGAGTGTGTCCACACTCAGTCTCCTCTGTGGTGGCAGGTTATTTCTTTCTGCTGCTGGAGTTACACTCTGACTACTTGTGTCTTCCCAGAGTGGACTTCACATTTTGGTGCCTATGGCAGGGCACTGCTGGTGCCTGCCACTTCAAGGGCTAGGCTAGGGAGAGGGCAGGTGCCTGGTAAGGGCTGCCATTTAATGCCCAGCTCTCTGTGCTCAAGGGGAGCAGTTTGTGACCAGCCAGCAGGGAAGAAGCATCTCCCTGCTGAGCAATGTTGCTCCAGGAATACCTAGGAGGTAAGGGCAAAAGTTTATGGGGATGGCTAGGAGTCTCTTGGTCCTGGGCATGGCCTAAAACTGTACCCTGCTGGGGATGGGTAGCCTGGTGGGGCTCCTAGTGGTGTGGGAACCCCCAAGGGATGTCAGGCCAGTTACCTCCCTGATGAGGGAGGGCACCTTAATTATTAAGGGCACCTTAATTAAGGGCACCTTAATAACCCCAGCTCCCACAACCGAGGTGGGTAACCCCGTAGTAGGGCCCGAGAAGATAAACCCATGTAAGAGAGTGTGGGCTAGTTGTTCAGAAGACTGACTTGAGGCATCCTCGACTGGTCAAGGCTGGGGCCAGGACCAGAAGGGTCAAAAGGGCTGGGGACCCACCGCGAGGGATGTCCAGAGCCAAGCACCTGGGGTTCCAACTAACCTTGGAGGTGAGGCCAGGGCCAGTGTGGCCAAAGGTCTCGGAGTGGGGGGAGGCACACCCGAAAGGATAAATGAAAGGCCACACCCGAAAGGAGTGCAGGGAGCTAAGCAGCCCAGAATGAGGGAATTAGGCCACCTAATGGAATGGGAAGGGATCCAGTTGGGGTCCAGACTGGAGGATTATGGGGCCCAGTGTGGGGCCAGAGATGTTAAGAACAGAGATGCTATCTGCGAGGCATGGGCTGTAGTGTACGGAAAGTTTTGAAGTTGCAGATAACATCCTCTGGCACTGGGGCAGGAAAAGGGTAGCCTCCCGCCTGGGTAACATCTTACTCATTTTCCATCAAAGTGTGGTAAGTGAGAGAGGCGGGCAGTTAGCCCAGAAACAGGTGGGCGTGCCAACTTCTAACTGGCTCTGGGAAGGCCCCCTGTTACAATGCCTCAGCTGATAATGGAGCTGAACAGAGCTTTTGTGCACATGCTCTGGCAGCTGGGCAGTAGAGGCCACTGTCTGCTACCAAAATTTCTTGCGGTAGAGCAGGATAAGTAAAGCCAAACCTTTGGCTTGTGCTGATGGCTGCCTCCAGTCAACACAGCTGCAAATAGATAACTTGTTGTTCAGGCTAGGGGCTTGAACGCCGTCTTTTGATATGGTCAGATATGGTACTACCCACATCATGATCTTGCTTGCTGTTAAGTCATGGAAGGTGGCAGGCCCTGGCATGTCTTAACCCCTCAGCTGGATGAACCTTCTAGGTTCAGACAGACCATGAGTGACATTTATATTTGCCACAAAAGATAATCAGTTCAATCTGCTTTTAGAGTAAGAAAATATTCTTCTGATATACTGGGTACCTAATGGTCTCAGAAGCATTATGGATTCTGCTGTCCAGGTCATCTGATACTTTAGTATGACCTGGCAAGTAAGCTTCAAAAACACTCCCAAAAAGATGTCATATTCTCCAGGAAAGAGAGTTCACAACAGATCTGGACAGGAGAAAGTGAAAATCTAGCTAACTTCATTAAATCATGCTCAGTGTAAGTAGTAACTGATGTCTAGCTCTTTTAATGATGTTGGATCTTGAAAGTCCCAAAATTTCCTATATACATCATGGCCCCTGGAGAGAAGTTTCTGAATTAGGGAGACTGAAATTAAATTACACTGACCTGTCCCTGAACTCTGAGGATGCACAGGCTTTTGTGAGTTGTCATGCCAATAAATCTTAGCTAAAGCAGCTAGAAATCTGGGCGTTAGCAGAGTTTCCCCTCCGCTTCTCTTCCCTGACAGCAAGATTGTGAGATACAGAATTACAACAAGCAGCCAGCATTGTACAAGAGTTCTTTGTATGATAGGACAAGCATTCTACAGCTCAGGTTAACAGGATACTTTGAAATTTCATGCCATTTCAAAAAGCTGAAATGAGAAGTTTCTTACCTTCTGCTATGCAGGCAAAGAGAGAGAAAATCAGCCAACTGTGTCCTGCAACTGCTAGGGGATTCATGGTGGGGACTGTGTGAGAAAAACTGAGTACTTAGTAGAGACAGGGAAAGGCAGGGGGCAGGGGGAGTATATAACAAAGACTGGGCAGAATGGCTAGGATTCAGTCAGGTGACCTGGCCTGTCCTTCTCCCTATCCCTGAATTACACATTGAAAGCGAGGCAAATAATTAATCTTTGCTCCAGTCCCCGGCAGTATCAGCAAAAGAAATGAAAGATTTGGAAATCGTCTGAATTTGCCAAAGCCTACAACAGTGAAACTGACAAAACCCTGAAAGAACGGCTCCTGGGCGGAGAAAAAGCAAGTCTGGCCTGCTGAATCTAGCTCTGCGTTGGTTCAGAAGAGCAACTCTCTGTCTGACTTATACCCCTCCTCTGCTTCTACCCACCTCCATGCCACCAAGGGAAAGGCAACAAATCCTGACTAAAGGGAAATTGACACAAAAATGGTCAAAGCAGCAAAGAATGATCCTTGCTTCCTGTTTGAGAAGCGGGAAGTTCTAGCCTGCGGGATCAGATTACTTAAAGGGCCAGGCTGGGAAGAAGGAAGAAAGCAGAGCTCTGTGAGTGAAGCTCATTAAGAAACACAGGCGCAGAGGCACATGTGTACATGCACGCGCGCACACGCACGCACGCACACACATGCACACACACATGCATGCACACGAAGGAAAGCATTTACTTCATTCTGTTTCTACTGCAGCATTGCATAAAGGGTCTGTGAAAGTGATCATAATATAGTTTGTTTGTGAAGAAAATAATTCCAGAAAATTGGGCATTAATGTTAAGAGGCTAGACATATTCATGGAGTAACAGGTAAAAACATAAGCAAGCCATGGAGCCTGCCCAGGTCCTCTTTTCAAGCTGAGTACTGCTTGTATGCTCATTTGCTTCAGGAGCATGTACAATGTGCTAGGCTAGGTGTTTTCCAAACAAAGAAGAATGACTGTTGCCAGGAAGAATTTAGAATTAAGAGAAAAGTACACACCTGAGATTGGGGAAAAAGGCTACAACATATAACTAAAGTGATCCCCATGATAACTGGCCATATTAGCTAACAGAGACTGAGTTTTAAAAGGACTCTACAATAAGTCAACAGTACTTTGGTGCCCAAATCCCTTCAGCTCCTGCAAAAATCCCATCCTGAATACTTTAATAACACAGAACTATATGATGTATAATCTCTGAGGACCCAAAAGAGAGGGTTCTTATCTATCAGCTTATTTCACTGCACCATGATTGAAGTGGGCCTTTGGAAGGGATTAGTCTGTAGAAAGAGCAATGACCTTTGGAAAGGAAAGATAACTAAAGAATTCATCTAACAGTGTGAAGTCCTTGGCTTGCAATAAAAGGAAAGTTACTTGCCAGCCCCTCCAGTCCTGTTTAACCACCTGGCCTCTCCGTCAGGTGATTATGGCTCAAGTGCTGCAGTCTGCTGACGAAGGGTTTTTGAACCCGAAAGCTTGCTTAATAACTATTCTGCAACTATTTGGGTTGGTCTATTAAAAGGTATCAAATTCACCCAAGGAACCTTGTCTGCCTATGTCCTTGGACCAACACAGCTACAACTTAAACCCCTGCAGTCTGCTTTATAGTTCACTGTCTTGAATTTCACAAGAATGCATTGATAGAGGAGGAAATAGGTGTTGAGCAAGGAAATGCTGGAAAAACAAGTGCTCTAAAGCATAACTTTGTGGAAAAGGTGTGATTTTTAAAATTTATTTACTTACTCCTGATATAGCCTATGAGGCAATGAGCTGCCAGTGAACAATCCCACACATATTGCCCATGCACATAACTGCAACAAAGTCTCATCAAATCTGACTTCTAGGGTTTGTTCCTAGCTGAGTCACTGAGCAAGTAGCTTAGGACTTGTCTGCCCTGAAATTTTAGCCCCTGACACAGCTACACTGGTGTACCCTAATAATGCACATCCACACTGTGTTAGATTGGTGTCAGTGGGTAAGCACTCAATATCTTAAGCTTTCTGAGACTTTCAGTTTTCATACTGTAATTTACCGTGGTGCTCGTTGGACTTCTCAGATCGACTAGGCCTTCACCTTGTGAAGAAGACAGGACCAGGAGGGACTATCACCTTGTGAGAAGACAGCTTGCCTGACTGCGTGGGTCCCTAAGGTAACTAAGGAATCTTACCGGTCACACCTTTGTTGGTAAAACTCATTAATGGGAAGAGTTCTTAATTCCTGTCTCTCTTGGTCCCCTCTTGGCTCTCACGTAGTGTCCTCAGTTCCGGGGCTCTGCCTCCCCTACACCCTGCCTAATGGCAACCAATAAGATGTTGAGGCTTAACACAGTCTAACTTCAGGCTCACAGCCACAGATGGGCAATGGCCACTGCTTATCGGTATACAGATTCAGAGTCCACACTCAGTCTGTCCCTTGCTCAAAGTCCTTACTTTAGGGCTCCACTTCTCACCCCACTCTTTCCTTCTGAAATACTGAAGTGGGATGTGCCTTAACTGTGGCACTCTCCCCAAGTGTACTCACCACTTCTCTATTCTCTTCTCTCTTACAGGTTCATCATTGTTCCAGTCCCAGACCCCATTGTCTGGGATCCATGGCGAGTATCACTGTTGAGTATCAATGGTGAGTATCCTGGCTCCTCCAATTCAGCAACGGTTAGATGCCTTTTTACTCCAGGCTCCCACCAGTTACCCCTGCTGGGGTACTTCTCTCTCCCATGCCACTCTGGGCTTCTTGGAGGCTCTGCTTCTGGTCCTCTCCAGAAGTTGTTGTGAAGGGGTTTTAACTTCTTACTGGGAGACTGGCCAGAGAATCGCTGCTGACATGCATTTAAAAAGTGTCTCCATGGTGGCACCAGAAGTCCCTCCTGGTTCGTGGCGGTATTTTTAGGCTGCTTCCCCATTCATTGGTCCCGTGCTGCTGGTGAGTCAGCTCTTGTGGTGGTGTCCCCACCACACATACCTGTACAATGGAATACTACTTGCCTTTTTTATGAGGTTCTTTTGATGTTTTGCAAAGCACTTTGATTTCCTCACATAATAGTTGATCTCTATGTGCAAAGCTGCCCAAGTATCTGGAAAACATCTATTAAATAATATATGTGATCTTTAAACTTCTGATCTTTCATGGTATAGGCAAGTGGGGTGTCCATTGCTCTCAAAAGCTCTCTCCATTGCTATTCTGAACTGGGATACTCCATGAAAATCAGCAATGGTTTTTGCATCCAGGCAGACGTGGGAAACCCATTAATTTAGAATCAATGTATGCAGCATTTTAGGACAGCACATCAGTTTGGGGTGTATGTGTACATATACACTTGTAGTGGGACCCAGGCCAAAGGGCCACACCAGGATGGGGACCAGGTGCCACAGTCTCAACAGGTGTTTCACCCCCTTATCTCTATAACCTTTCTGCCATGACTTAATGTTAATGTAAAGGATGTCAGGAGGTGGTACCTGACTGTATGGAGTTTGTTCAGATAGGCACAGGTCTCTGTGTCTGGGTATCTTCTGTGGGGCTCCATCTCCCTTACACACTGTCCCTTTCCACTTGGGTGTTGATCAGGATAGACTCTTGGCCTTTCTAGGTACCTGTCTTTACATGATGGGAGAAAAGGTCAATGGGAGAAGAAAAAACAAGCAACCTGGGACTGATGTGAACTGGCCGAGCCCTGTGACTCTGGTAAGGGTCCACTGCCAATGATGTCTGAGTCATGTGGAAATTAGTAAAACAATATAATGTAGTCATGTCTGTCTCTGCTTACAGGCCTACCTTCAGCCTCGCAATGTGCATCTACTTTCTCCTCAGGCAGTTGAGGCTCCTCAGGGTTCACCCCCTAGTCATGAACCTAATTTACATGGCAAGCCAGTGTCAGGCTAACCCCTGTGGGTAGTTTGGAGCCATCAATACTCTAAACCCCCAGGAGGCCCTTGCAGGTACCTGGCATCCAGTATTTGCAGGATGGTCAGGTTTGTGCTGTGGGAGCCAGGATCAAGCTGGTCTTTGGTGAGATGTCCTCAGCTCCAGTGGAGGGAAGCAGCATGGGCTGGCACCTACGCCAATGCCACCTTCTCTTTGGGACCAGCACTGCCCTATAAGGGAAGTTTTGGGTTGGTCTGGGCCAACTTGGACTCCTCCATGCCCTCTTGTACCCTCTGGCTGCTGCCAGGTGTTGAGAGCCCCTGTGGGACTCATCATTGCCTGCAGCTGTGGTCTCCAGGTTCTAGGTGGTGCTGGACACACTGACAACTTCTTTCCTTCCTGGCCAGGCTCCAGGCCCAGGTAGAGCCTGGATTCTAGGTCTTAGCCTTGCGCAGAGGGCAGGCACATGGGGAGCACGTTGCCCGCCATCTGCCTGCTGTGCCTGGAAAGCAGGCACACAGGGAGAGTGGGGGAAAGGGGGACATGCTGTTTGCCCACAGGCCCACTGCCCACTGTCAGGATGGTCCGGGGTCCCACAGTCTGCAGGGCATCCTAGCGGTCATTGCCCCAGTAAGTGCGGGGCCAGGCTGGGTCCCTACTACAACACTACATGGACAATATGGCAGGAGACTGGCCTCCATTGACTTAAGGAGCTGAGGATTCCAGTTTTTTTGTCTGTGACTTTCAGCCATACAAGTTTGGTATCTCATATGTGGACAATACTGAGTATGGGATTAATTTCATACTGTAGCAGTATTTCACATGCCATGTAATTCCAGAAAAGTCAAAAGACAACTTAATTGATTCTGATCAGTGTTTTTATTAAGAAATAGCTAAGAATTGCATTGAAAGTATATAGGCCTATGCAATGCAATTTAACTCGTTAGTGAGCAAGAATACTATTTAGTACTCTCACTACCAGTCTCAGCTTCCTGACCTGTTAGGTTCTGTGATCCGCTGGTTAAACTCTGTAACAAGGGCCACCATATTCCATAAAATCTAATCCAAAAGTTTTTAGCAATTTGAAATCTCTAGGACCACATAAAATAGCTCTTTCAGGGAAGTATTGTATTTCAGACCCTCTCACTTCTTCAGCTTTTGCTCTGACTGTAGTAGCCTTAGCACCGCACTGTTCTTCGTCACTCTTGATTCTTCCAGGAACCTTAAACTTGCCATGGAGTGGGAGAAATAGGGAAAATGACATGGCTAACTATGCAGAGATGCTATGCATGCTATACACCCTTATTCCTAAAGAGATACTATGGGTCTTACATTCTTTATATAAGTTCCTGGTATGTATTATATCATAACTACAGAAATCTGCACACTGCAGTAACCTAGCTTGTAAGAGACAAAGACCTGAATGGTTATTAACAGGTTTGCATTAGAGGAAAAGTTAAACATCTCTAGCTACCACTGCTACCTGAAAAGCCAAAATTAAGGATGGAGCTAAAAACCTCAAGGAGCTGTGAGCTATTTTGTCAGCCTCATGAAGGCATGTGCCTCATGAATGATGTATCCATCTAGTCTTCCAAATGCCTCAACAAACAAGCATCACTCCCCTCCTACCTTAATGGCAACCAGTTCCTTTTCATCCAAATCCCTACCTTAGTAATACAGTAGGGAGGTAACAAGGCCAGGAGCTGTGTTCAATAAAAAGGAGACAAAGAGTTGAGATTCCCTAGTGTATTGACAGTTTTTTGGCTGAGAAGGTCCCTGTCACTTCTGATAGTTTTACATAAGCATTGACAGGATTGAGCCTGTTGAGAGGACAGCTCAGCATTGTCTCCTGAGATAGTCGGCACCCTCAGGAAATGCAGTATCAAAACTCATCTCCCACATCTCAGAAGAGATGTAAAATCCCAGCTGTTTCCTTTCTGTGATCCCTTGTATCACGTTGGGCCAAATATCCAACTGGAGTTTAGCAGCAGCAGTATTTTAAATATATGTAGCTAAGTTTAGAATTTCACAGTTTATGGTATGAATGAATATATATGACACAATCATTAAACCGATTAGGTCTCAGTAGAAGATGTCAAAGCAAGGGGGGAGATGCGGTGATATTGACTATTATATGCTTTCTTGTGCTCTACATAACTCTTTTCACTACTTGATTACTGAGAGTAAATTATTACAGCTGGAAATGCAGTAGCACTACTTGTAGCTTTTTCAGCAGG